AGTGAAATTACATATTTTTCACTTCAGTGGAATAAACATTCTGTCTGAATCAAGATCAACCAATCTCAAGAGAATACAGTCTAAAAATTAGCAAATTTTTGACAGATCATTTAGATGTGATTTAAATCATTAAATGCCTCTTCAAAGGAGATGGAGATGCTCTCACTTGCTACATGGTGCTTACTTTCTAGTTAAAAGAGACTGATTTTAATGAAAGGGAAGATCCTTCTCCTCAAAACTTGCACTGACTTCCATCTCAGATAAAATACTCATTTATGCATTAACCGCAAGCCACAAGGTGGTGCTCTTAATCCACATCTTGACTACAAAAGAAAATAATTCTTTTCTTCGTTTTTTAATATTGCACAGTAGGAACATATGCAGAAAAGCATGTTTTATAATACGGTTAATTTGGTTTCTGCAGCAATCCCACAGACTAAATCACACACAGTGCAGTCTATAATGGTAAACAGTTTTTTCTTAAATGATACATGCTACCTTCAGAGGGTTTGAGAAGAACAATCTTTCTGGGAAAACCAGTCCAAATAAATGGTTAAAAATCCAAGGAAACAAAATGAAACTACAGATGAGCTATCTGAATAATAAAATTCTGTAACTGAACACCTAGTTGGCAATCCTACATCAAACTAACTCAATCTATCTGCATATCTAGAATTTCACCTGTTTCTCATTTGGAAAAAAAAGTAGTTCTTCAGTTTTCCTTGAAAGGCATGTGCTGGTGCAATACCACTGCAGTGGTCCACTGTGCCCCCCCAATCCCCCAGCCATTTGTTCAGGTGTCAAAGAATTCCACATATATTGACGATAAAGTGAGTATCATCTTCCAGGAAGAAAGACACAGAAGGCATGTAAGTTGTGTATGCACACACACTACCAGGATTACTGATGAGCTTAATAAAAATAGACACATTGTTACCTTTTACCTTCAACAATATAAATATGTATGTATCTGTGTAATCTCATTAAAATACTTCCATAGATGTATACACATAAGTAGTTCTTAGCAAGATGAAAGCCAATCCATTTTCCAGTGTCTGTGAAAGCTCCACGGCTGGAAAACAAAGCGACTGGAGTGATTTTCCCAGGGCTGTAGTTCTGCCAGCGTGACTGAATTCCATTTATTCCTTTTTTTGCTCTTCACCTTTAGATTCCATTAGCACCTCTTGCCATTTCTTCTCCATCTCTTCTTTGCAACTCAGGAAGGCATCTTCCAACCGCCTCATGGAGTTGGCCAGGTCTGGGTTGGTACGTATGACTACCATGTCATATGCCATCCAGGTTGCCTGCACTACAAACCCAACGGATACAACTAAGCCAGGAATTTTGGCTAAATAAAAGCAATGGCTGATTCAATAAACCAATAAAGGACATGAATTATTATCAGTTAAGATCTTATGTCAGAGAAGGCTTGCTGTAAAATAAAGTGGAAACTGCCCACAGTAATATTCAAGATTAAATAAAAGACTGTTCAGTATTACTTCTTTATAAATGTCTTAAAATACTTCAGAATGGAAGTATACTGATGTAAATTACAAAAGGGAAACAGACACTTTACCTAAAAATTACAACAAAACGGGTAATCAAAAGGAAAGGTTCAACAGACTGTTTTAAAACAAATGAACTAAAGAATCCTCTCTCCAGACCAGTTGCAGTCAGGAGGCTTGCGTTATGTGAGGAAGAGTAAGATCAAGGAGGCTGCAGCATAGAGATGAAAGGTTTTAAGAACAACCTAAATAATGAAATTGATTTTGAAATAACGAGTATCTGTTAACGCAAATAGTTTTAGCACTTATTTCATACTTTCCCTTTTGTTTTACCATAAATTGACTAATTTTCTCAATGGCACTCATAAATTGTGTTTAATTACAAATAGTTTAATTAACAGTTTCCATCTATTCTTGTTAGTTGCACACAGTTTCTGATGGAATTGTTGCAGAACATGGAGAGGAGTATGCAATCCTCTCCATACATACAGGACTAAGATTAAATTTGCAGAGGAGTCTTTATTCTAGCTGAGGAATTAACCACATCATGCACTGACCTGAGAGGTACTACGTATCCCACCATTTTTCAGAATCAAATCTCATTTTACATACTATGTTTTAATAATTGTACATTAAATACCTTAGTATTATTTCTGTTTTCAACCAGCACTCTTAACTGAGCATCCATCACCTGTTAATTTTCAATTCTGAGCCATCTGCAACTTCTAGATTACTGGCATGCTTTCTCCCAATTAAGAACATTAGGGCATTCGTTGACGGTGATTGTTTCCACTTACGTTTCTATCGCACAGAAGTTTATAGCAATAAATATAAATAATAAATCTTGAATGTCTTCACTCTAGTAGACAAATCCATATCATTCTTAATAAAGACCTGTACCTGTTAGTTTTTCCATTTCCTCCAGAAGTTTCTCTAAGTCCCTGTTCAGGTCCTCCACCATCTTTACCATGTTATCATAGTTTCCTTCCTGAGGTTCTGATTCGGCCATCTACAAGGAAACCAGGAATTTCATACTTTATTTTACTTCTACGTGAGTTGATTTTCACAGTTGAGAGAAAATAACATTGCAATAAATAAAAAAAAAATACCAATGTATATAAATATTCAATTTACACGTTAATTCATTAAGAATCTGACCTTGAAGTTACTGGTCATCACCTGTATGCTGCATACAATTGTCAATCCATTTTGCAATTAATTTAAGTAGAAAGAATCACACTCAAATATGCTGTGTTTGTGCCAAATAAAAATTTTGGTATCAGTAATAACAAAGATCACTCTGTCAGACACTGCATTAGAAAATGTTATCTATTATCCTGTTACAGTTGTCTTCAAGATTCTCTCCCAAACACTCTTGACGTAAGGCAATTCCTAATTTTCAAAGTTAGTTGTAAAATCCCCATTTGTATCCAGTATTTCACACCTGCGTGCTACAGCTGGGTAACTAAGTTCTGTCACCATATAAACAGCTAAGTGCTTATGATTTACTAACCTCTGCTTAAGTTGTAGGTAGTAAAATTTCAGGAAATAAAAATGCTTGGGGCAAAAATCTAGATTTAGAGGCCCAACTTATGCAATTAAAAGTTTCAGAACCTTGATATTAAGCGAAAATGTGACACACAGCCCTGCCTTTAATTTCCTTTTCTGAAAACCACCGATGGATGGGACGAAACTACGAAGGATGATACGGAAGAGCTTCACTGTAGTGACTACACACATCACGCAGCAGGCATGGTTTTTGTCAGCTTTTTTTATATATGATTTCTCAAACTCAGTGGGTATCCATTTTCTATTTTTTATTGCCGATAAATGTGGAAGGAATGCAAGTTTATAATGGCTTTACAGCGTTTTAAAGCGATGCCAAGCCTTATCAAGACGCTGGGTGTTCCAGGGTCTCTTCACGCAACCAATTTCATGAGGTACCTGTGTGCCGGCAAACTCTTTACCCTGGAGGCCTTAAAAAGCCCAAACCCCTTGTTGTAGCACGGCGGGCACGCTTTAGCTCCCCACCAGGGCTGCGCTACGCCCACGGCGCTGGGGGACGGCTGGGCCGAGCCCGAAGGCCGTTTGAGGAGCCGCCCTCAGAGGGCGGCCGTTGCCCACCCGTAACCCGCCCTCTCCCCACAGCCCGCTCCCGCCCTCCCTCCCGAGGGGAAGGCTCT